CACCAACTCAGCTGGTTGGCTGCTCGCACCATCACAAAACACTTTTGCAGTTGCACTGGTTTTCTCACCACCACCCAACACCATTCAATAATCCCTTGATGAACCCATTTTTAACCTATATTTATTAGTCCTTTAATCACTCTGCAAAGTTAATAACTGTATAGTTATTCCAGGTTTGACTGGTGTTTCAGCACTGGGTTACAACTGCTTTACTCTCTGTTCACACACACAGACACAAATGAGCACAGGGACACCTGTGTACACTCACGCACACAAGCATGCATATTCATGGGTTTGTATGCGCATACAAGCAGACGCAGACACATGCTCACACACTCACACGCTCATAGCAGCTTATGAGCTGTGCGCCTCAGTAACAGCAGCAGTATAGCCCATCTGTGAAAAGGTAAATTGAATTTTGCAGGCACAAAGCTGACTCCCCTGCGGTCTATAGAAAAAAAGCCTCACTTTGTGCGTCTAAAGCTTTTCTAAAGCTTTCGGCTCCTCATCGCTTTTCTTCCCTAGCCTTCTCTTCTCCTCTCTCTCTTTCTTTGTGTGTGTGTGTGTGTCTGTGTGTGTCTGTGGGTGGGGGGGTGGTAAAGGTGTGAGAAACACCGATGCATATGATCATTAAAGCGTTGTGTCTTTGGGAGGCCTGCAGAGTGTCTGCACAAAGCTGCAGACAAAGAGCACAGAGGCTCTGGGAAAAGCCTGCTATATGACCACAACATGGTCCCAAACTGAGCAGCACTACTTTCTCCTTTGACAAAGTGCTAGCAGAGAGTAAAACAAAACCCTCCCTTTTTCTCCCTCGCCTTCCTTTTTTCAACTTTTTCTCTTCCTCCTCCTCCTCTGTCCCCACTGCCTCTTTGCTTATCCAGAGATGTAGTTAAAGCACTTTCATTCTGCTTGTGCAAAGGATTTTCCAATCTGTCCATGTCTCTATTATTAGAAGCTCCCATACATAGCCTGTGTTTCTGTATTGAGTTAACACAAATGACTATGCAGCTAGTCACTCTGCCCACACAATTAACCCCCCACATGCACACCAAGGTACTGAGAAAATGCAGTTTGATATGTTAAATTCTAATTAGCTACAGCACTACCACCTCCACTGCTACTGTGTGTGTGTGTGTGTGTGTGTGTGTGTGTCTGTGTGTGTGTCAGGCAGGTGGGATAGACACCGACAGGTGGAATAAAATTACCAGTGTGAGGTATCCATCTGTGCAGAAACTACCATATGCATTTCAAAAACTCTGCAAGGTTTCCATGCCAAACGATGGAGAGAGATTGACACTGTTCCATCTGCCAGTGCAGCGCCTATATTTGAGGTGTATGGGTATAAACAGGGAGAGAGAGATTATTACCATGTCCCACTCAATTCGAAGGGATGTTGGTTGAAATGTCCCTAGAGAAGAGAATAAAAATAGTGCTGGAGTCAAAATAATAAAATGCAGTTTAAGAGGCTCAATCAAAATGGACTCATAAAAAGTTGGTAGGGAAACAACTGCATAAGTTGGTGAACATTATTCATCAAAACAGAGGAGAGAAGAGCTAGAACTTCCCATATTAAAGGAATAGTTTCACATTCAGAAATAAGTGTATTCACTTTTGTGCTGAGAGTCAAATGAAAACATCGGTGCCGCTGTCACGCTGGTCTGCTGCTGTACATACAGTATGACACTACAGCCTGCCAGTTAGATTATCTTAGCATAAATGTCAGAAACAAGGGGCAATAACTAGTCTGGCTTTATCTGAATAAGGTAACAAAATCCACCATTCACGGCCTGTAAAAATTGCAAATTAATGTGTTATATCATTTGCTTAATCTTTATAACCACAATGTAAAAATAACAAGTTCTGTATTTGCATAGAGTTATGCAGAGGAATTAGTTTTGTCTGTGCACAGTGACATCCTGAGAGCTCTGCTGCAGTCATGCCAGTGCTTCGCTTCTTGTGGGACTATTTCTTGATTCCCAGCCAAGGAATCTTTTCTTTTTAACCTTAGTTCTGTAAATAAAAGTGCTGACCTGTTCTATTCAACAAGTCCTCCAAATAAAGCAACAAAAGCATTTTCTCCTCTGATGACCCTTTGGTTGAGATTTGGTTATGTTACAGGAGGCGGCTTGCTTCCAGCAAAGTACTTGTCAGACTGCTGAAACCTCTCCCTTGCTTATCTTTCCATTAATTTGGCAACATCAAAATAATCAATCCAACAAGCAGATCCACTTTACACAGCAACTGGCCAAGTGTGTGGAGCTACAGAAGTCTGCTCAATTTAAACTTGTTCCTCTAGCACTCTTTTTTCACTCTTCACACAGCTACTCCATCACTGGAACTGTGTGGAGCTGCGTGCAACACCAGGAATAAGAGCAGGCATCAGCATTCATACCTTCAGACACAGTCATCCAGCACATTGTATGATCTAATTGTTTTCAAACATACTGAACCCTCTAGGCAAAACAACTAGTTGGCTGTGGTTGGTGCACAATCACTTTAAGATAAAAAAACCCCACACTAGCTGTTGGAAAGAAACAAGCCATGATCAGTGGGCTGTCACAATCACACCCTTATGTCCATCCAACCCAACCTCCTTGCTGCTAGGTTTTCCAGCTCTATAACAACATCTCACTACTCCTGCCATTTTTTCAAACAAACAAGAGTCACAAGACGGCATCTAGAGCTCCTTCTCAGGTAGATGTAAACCAGCCCTGTATCCCAACGAATTACATCCTTATTGAACTATGTGTCATGATTTACATCCATTATCATTATTCAGTGCCAACATAAGAAGTGTAAGTAGCAAGGCAGAGAGTATCGGGTGTGAAGGTCAGGGTGATGGATGGCTGTGCAGAGGAATTTGTCTCCTGTCACAGACTTGCAATTAACATTAACAAGTTTTTTTTAAACCATAACTACAGTCTCTCTCTAACCTTAATCACACACTGGTCACCATGCAGAGGGACTGCATAAGGTAACAGATGTTGTTGTGGTGATATGGTTGTGGAAACACAGGTCATTTTAGGCATTTCAGACCATTCAATTTTGATATTCAACTCTGTGGGCACATTTTGGACAGTGCTCAGAAACTACTGAGGTTCAACACCTAGAAGTAGAACAAAATAATCCACACGAAGAAATACGGTGTGTCCAGTAATTTGGTGATATGCCCTGTCTAATTACAGGTGAATCTCCTGTGGAGAGCCTGCAGATATTAGACAGATTCATGAAACTATTACATGTGATTCAGAGAGAAAAATTACTAGTACTGCTCATAAAATGCCGCTTACTTACAGTAACGACGGGAAATCATTCCTCCCACCCTTGGGTGCAAATGTTTGTAGCTTGTTTACTCAGCGCTATGTGTTGATGCATTAGGACGGAGACTGGGAAGAAGGCTCTGTTTGTCCCTCAGGTTCCCATAGTTGGACTGGCCTGCTCTGGTTGCCTGGGTTACTGTATCCCTTGCGGACGGTCAGCTCGCTGTTGCTATGCTAATGAGAATACATCAAAGCCACGAGCGGCAGCAGCTGCCTGTCCAGTGTATGTGTGCGTGTGTGCATTTTATTTACAATCTTACACCACAGGGTCATGGACAGGCCAGAGCTTTTAACTAGAAATGTCACGCCAATTAAGAATTTGTCAAATTAAGCAGACGATATGAAACTTTGCGTTTTATTCATTAGGCATGGAGCTGCTCCTAATAGGATTTCTCTCTCTAGCTCAGTGCTGCGTCTCTTTGTCCACCTCTCCTCTTACCTCCTGACTCTTCCTTTTACTTTCCCCTATTTCATTATTTACATCTTCTCCTCTCTCTCTTTCTGGCACAGTTTATCTGTTTAATCAGCCTGTGTGGGAAGAGGTGGAGGAGGAGAACAGGAGGGAAGAGGGGGAGAAGGGGGGTGTGATGGGGAGGCACACAATCTCCATCATTCTCACAACCTCGCTGTAATGCATCTTTATTAGGCTCCCAGCGTCAGCCCAGGAGACGAGCCTCTGCTATCACTGTCAATTAGCAGGGGAGCCACTCGAGGAAATGGCTCACGTCTCTTTATTAATATCTCCAAACAACCACACAGAACTCAGATGTATAGAAAGAGGCCTTCCCTTTATTAAACACACTCAGGGCAGCAGTGCAAACCATACAAGAGAATGTCATCAGGTTGTGTAAGGTGCAGTTGCAGAGCTTTACATTTCATTTACTGAGAGAATTAAAAAAGGGGGGAGGGGGTGTTTTGCTTTAGTCAACATAAGGACAGATATTACATTATCATTTCATCATGGCTTTCTGGCAATATGGCTTTTTCAATCAGCAGATACAGATATTATTTATTCATAGAAGCATTTTAAAAGGCACACAAAAACAGCATAGCCAATCTCCACAGAGTTGACACAATCAAATATACATGAAAATAATATAGGTGTGAGATGGGGGAGGGGGAGTCGGAGGGTAATTTTAATTTTATTCATATAGAGAACAAGGAGAGGAAATGGAAAGGGGGAATGGAGAGGGGGACAGTCATTCCTCCATTAGTTCCACGCTTATTTCTTCTCTGAGAATTCTATTCGATTTGTCCAAAGCTGCTTCTGCATGTGCGTCAGTGCAAGTGGATCTCTACAGTTGTTGTTGAGCCAGTGTGTGTGTGTGTGTGGTCTGGCAGTATATCCTTGCTTTAAGGCAAGTGTCTCTTTAATGAGGCTTTGCTGCAAAAGGTGCTCCCTAAGACTCTTGATGTGCTCTGCATTTCAAATACACTCTCCTGCACCACGCAGACCACAGCACATCCTCTCCTCCACCACACACACACACACACACACACACACACACACACACACACACAGCCTTACAGGTTGATGCAGCATGTTTGTGTGTGAGTTTGCGCTGTACCATGCCAAAGCACTGGTTGGTGGGGTTTGTGATCAGAGTGAGAGCTTGTCAGTGAGAGGCAACCTTTCTGAGGCAGTACATATGACTTTCCCCC